TATATCTCTATAAAATATATATAGAATATAAAATTGTGTACTAAAATAATGCCCTTCAATGTATTCACTACTAAGCTTCTTCTTGACTTCAGTGTGCTTGATGTTGTCAGCTTGAAGAATGTCCAGGTATTTGTAGAGATCTTCTTCATCCAGACTCTTGATGTTATTTCTTTAGGGCACCTTTATTCCTTCAGTTTTCACTATTTTTCCCCTGTTGATGGTAAGGGTGGCACATCTGTCCAGTCCAAACTCCACTGCAATATCTTGGCTGTATATTCGGACAGAGTTGAGCAGCGATTCTATTTCAGACGGGGTTTTTCCATACAGCTGCAGATCATCCATGTAAAGGAGATGGGATGGCCTGGCAGATTTTTTTGATGTTTGATGGCCATGACCTGATTTGTTCAGTATTGTTGACAGAGGAATCAATGCAATGACAAACAGTTGTGGTGATAGTGAGTCTCCTTGAAAGATTCCTCTCTTGATATTAGCCTCTCCCAGTCTATCACCATTGACTAGCAACTGTATCTTTCCTTGTGCCATTGATCTTTGCACAAAGCTTCTGATGTTTCTATTAACTCCTGTTATTTCTAGGCACTTGATTATCCAATCTTGTGGCAGGGAGTTGAATGCCTTCTTGTAATCAATCCAGGCTACATTCAAGTTGGTCTTCCTTCTCTTGCAGTTTTCCAAAATCATTTTGTCAGTTAGGGGCTGATCTTCTGTCCCTCTGCTGTTTGGGCGGTTTCCTTTCTGCTCAAATGGAAAGAGCTTGTTTTCAACTAGATGCTGTTGGACTGCATCGGTTACCACACCAGTTAGCAATTTAAAAGTTGTTGGCAAGCAGGTAATTGGTTTGTAGTTGTCTGGTACTGCCCCTTTTGTTGGATCTTTCATTGTCAGGTAGGTTTTGACAGATATTAACCAATCTTCAATTTCACCTCCTTGCAGTTTGTTGTTAAACTGCTTGGCAATGAGTGGGTGCAGACCAATCAGATGTTTCAACCAAAAACCATGCAGTGTGCAGACCAATCAGATGTTTCAACCAAAAACCATGCAGTGTGCAGACCAATCAGATGTTTCAACCAAAAACCATGCAGTTCATCTTCACCTGGTGAAGATGATCAATTCTTGATCTTTGTTGCCCATTTCTGCTGTTATTACAAGTTGTTTTATTTCAGCTTCTTTTTCATTCTTATCTACCTCCTTTATCCAAGCTGCATTCTTGTTGCATTTCTTTGGATTGTCCCACAGCTGCACCCAGAACCGCACTGTTTCTTCTTTGTCAGGTGTTGACTGGTTCATTGCAGTCACTCCATTGATGGATCAATAGAAACATTTCTGATTCGACTGAAATTGGAAATTCTGCCTATAGTGTGCAATTCAAGTTTCATATCTGCTGATCTTTTTGGCTATGCTGTTATTTGCTGCTTTATTATTTCCAGTGCTTCTTTGATCTTCCTTGTTTCTAGGTGCTATTTCTTGATCAGGTATTTTTTCGTCTTGTTCTTCAGCTTCTTTTCTTTCATCTGCTCTAGCTTGCTTGCATCTGATTTTAGCTTGCTGATCTTATTTTCCAACCTGATCTTCCATTTTGGTGGTGCACCGTTTGGCTTTTTTTCTTGTTTGTTGACTTTTGCATTCAAGGTATTCAGTTATAACTGCCGCTGTGATGTACATTAGTTGGCTTGTTTCTTGCAGTGACTTATGGTGCTTATATTTGGTATTACAATATTGGCATCTTTTAATATTTGTGCTAGCTGTTTCTTTGTTAACAAGCTTCAATGCAGGCAGCCTTATTCTGTTGTT